GTTTCATGTATTCCGTTCATTAAGGTTTCGGTGTAAATAGGTAGTTTTCGCACAAAGTTAACCTTAACGTTAACGGGTGACGTCATAATTTATTTATTTTGCGTTGCGGAGTATGTTTATGGCCGTATTTGACTGGTCGTTCTTCGTTAAACCACGCCCACCTTCGCAGAGGTAAAATCCTACTTAACGAAGACGATCAATCGAATAGAAAACTTGTAAATACTCGACAAAACAAAATGGCTACATAGTTACCGCGATACACGCGCTGCGTAATCAAGATTGTGGTAGTATAGATTTCTCGAAAAAAAAAATGTTTTCATTTAATTTTTTAGTTCCGTTAGCCTACAATTATTTTTTGACTTCATGTGGGTAAATATTATAATTTTTATTTTCTGAAATTTAGTCTAAAATTATATTAAAACAAATGTTGTTTCTAAACTGACTAATCGCTGATTAATGCACTCTGGTTACGTTAATTTTCGTTGACAACGAATTCTATTTTACGTATTTTACGAACCAGTCGAATGAAAATAATACGAAATAAAAAAATAAAACGAATTGAACCAGTCGAATAAGCCCAATTTTAGGATTTTACAAGCTCGACGTACTTTAGTAACGGGTTTGCGCATGCGTATCTTGATTTGTTTACTAAAAGGGCGGAGCTATCGCGTTGCATCTTGGGTACTAACATAATAGTGATAATAATAATAATAATAGTAATAATAAATAATAGTAATGATAATAATAATAATAATAATAATAATAATAACTACCTATTATCACCGAAGTCTTCAGAACACAGACAAAATTGTATTCAACTTTTAATCTGAGAGTGCCATTTCCGGCCATCTGGCTGGAGGTGCCATAATCAAACATTTTTCTTGCCTCAGCCCCAACAGTTGGAAAAATATATTTCCAGCCATTTAGAGGTGCAATTCCCCCCCCCCCCCCCCCCCCCTAAACCCCCCCCACACCACCCTAAATTGTTATTATATTTAAATTTTATATCTGGAAGTGAATTTTCCGGCCATCTAGAGGTGTCACAATAACACATTTTCAGGTATTTGGTCCTTTCTATTTGTGAAAGTACCCTCCCTAGCCGGCCCCCATCTATTTCGAATTCCTGGATCCGCCACTGGAAATACAACAAATATGAAGTCATGTTACAGTAGATTGATGTCTATAAAATAACCTATAAAATTCAACAAACTTCCTAAAATATCCGTAGCTTCCATGGGGGCTTCGCCCCTGCACCCCGACCGGGGGCCCTTGTCGGCCCCGGCCCCCAACTTAGATGCTCGCTTCGCTTGCATACTGGACCTTATGAAATCCCCACCCCAACTTTCAAAAACGTTCCGCTGCCGTTGGTCAACAGGTGGGTATGATTTCGGAATCCGGGATTGCACTTTCTTGCATTCTCAGGAGTTAATAACGATGGTAATTATGAGAATGATGATGACATAGGCGGTGAAATAGTTTGTGAG